ATTATACAATTTGAACCTTATTTATACTTTTAGTTTTTCACACCAGAGAAACTATTTGCTATTTACACATGTGTATCCTATTTATTTCACTTAAGAGTATGGCCTCATTTAGCTATAAATGACTCTAGTTTCTTGTTCTTTGTTTTGTTTTGTTTTTTGGTACTGGGGATCAAACTCAGGTCCTTGCACTTGTAAGACAGGCAGTGGACCCACTGAACTAAATCCCTACCCTCTAGTTTTTTGTTCTTTATGGCTCAGTAGTACTTCACTTCATAGCATAACCATATCTTCTTTATCCAGTCTCCAGTTGATGGGCAAGTGGGCTGTTTCCAAGTTTTACCTATTACAAACTATGTCATATGGTGTGCATATTTCACTGTGGTTTGATTCTTTTAATTCTTTTAGAAAGATACCCAGCAGAGGGATAGCTGGGTCAAATGGAACCTCTAATCCTAGTTCTTTGAGGTATCTCCATATTGATTTCCACAGTGGTTGCACCCGTCTGCACTCCCACCAACAATGGAGAAGGGTTTCTTTCTCCCCACAACCCTGGCAGCATTTGTTATTGGTTGATTTCTTGATAGCAGCCATTCTTTGTGGGGTGAAGTGGAATCTCAGTGTTGTTTTCATCTGCATCTCTTGAATGACCAGTGATGTGGAACATTTTTCATATATTTATTTGTTGCTTTTACTTGTCTGAGAAACGTCTGTTCATTTTAGATGCCCATCTTTGAATTTGGTCTTTATATTTGGGGGTCTGATTTTTTTTGAGTTCTTTATATATTCTAGGTAATAGTCCACTCTCTAAGGAACAGCTGGTAACATTATTTTTCTGCATTGTGGGTTGTCTCTTAGCTCTGTTGGTGGTTCATCTTGCAGTACAGAAGCTTTTTAATAAGATGAGATCCCAGTTGTTGATTCTTTGTGCTAGTTCGCATGATGCTGAGGATTTGTTCATAGTCTTTTCCTATGCCAATGTCTTCAAGAGTTCTACCCAACTTATCTTCCAGCAAGTTTAGTGTTTCTGTTTTAATATTTAGATCTTTAATCCACTTCGATTTTAGTTTAGTTCATGGTGAAAGATAGGGGTCCCGTTTTAATCTTTGGCAGTTGAAATCCAGTTTTTCCAACACTTGTTTCAGCCTTTAAAAAAATGCATTCTTTCTCTCTCTTTTTTTTTTTTTTTGGTACCGGGGATCAAACTTGGGGCCTTGCACTTGTGAGGCAGGCAGTGGAACCACTGAGCTAAATCCCTGGCCCCCCAAAATGCATTCTCAATTAGAGGAAATATTTGTTTTGAGCCACCAGACTACATTCTAAGTTCCTGTCTAGCTGTTATCCTGTTTGTGTTGGTGTTGACACGAACACTTTGTTCAATCCATCAAATATTTTCTGAGCAACTAGTGTATATTGGACAGTTTCAGGCATAGAGATGAAAACAATGCAGTAAAGGAGACAGAGTCCTCCTCACAGTATAATTCTACTTGTGAGATCTATAATAAAGTGCTTATAGGGGCAACCCACTTTCTGGTTCCCCTTCAGTCTCTCTTAGACAGAAGCTTTCTTTCCTTCAATAAATATTTTCCTACTCTTAACCTCTGTTGTTTTTAGGATTCATTCTTCAATTTTAGAGAACATGAACTTGAATTTCAGATATCTAGCAGGTTTGGGAGTAACATCTCTTCCCCTTATATCATTTTGGAGGTCTTCCACTGAGATAACTGGTCGGAGGTAAGAGTTTTCTTTCCTAGGTTCTAAGTTTGGTCTTTTTGCTTTATAGATGGTAACTTGTTTCATAGGCTTTCATTTGTTTTGTAGATTCTGGTTTTTGTTTCATACAAATTCTTTGGCCTTTGTTTCAGCTTTTATTATAAAAGTGTCTTAATTTTAAATTGTTGCAAATTTCTTGTCTTTTTATGCAGTATTATGTTAAAATTACATTTTATTCTTATTTTATACGTTTTGCATTTGCATTTAGTTGCTTCAAAATGTGTGTCTTGTGAAATCATCTGAGATAAAGACAGTTTAGGCTTTTATCTGTCCCTTATAGAATCATAAATGGTGCTTACTCTGCCAGCTAGTAATTGCCTTTAGGGCAGCTGCCACTCTCAAAGTAGAGCACAGGTTTGTCCAGGTGCCCTCTGCTCAATCCCCACTCCCATTGATACCAATGGTGGGTAGAACATTGACCAGATAGGCAATTGGGTTCCTTTTGGAGACAGATCTCTGATTTCCTGGAACTAATGGAAACTGAGGTGACAACTGAGGGGTCATGGCCAGGGCTACTCTCTAGCAGATACCCAAAGGTCCCTCAGAAGAAACTAGCTCCTGACAGCCCATCCTGGTAATCAGCAGAAAGCTCCACATCTTGTCCTATCTGTACTCCTCCGTGAGGTGAAAGGGGAACTCTGTCAGTGATCATCAGGGATCCTCTGTCTCAGAGTGATCTGAAACGATGCCGTCAGAGCCCTTTCTTAAGCCTCCATTAAAAGTTAAGCTCTGTTCAATTTGTTACAACATGTACAGTTCTTTTGTTTCAATTTTTTTCTTTTGGCATTTTGGATTTTTTAAGATGTTTGCCTGTAACCCAAGTTGGCTTATAGAAGACATGCTTCTCCCAGGTTACCAGATGATCCAAATAATATCAACTGGTTTTACAAATTACATATTGTTGTCTATATGTAATAACTCAGGAATCTTTCATTGGTACAAAATAATGTGTTAATTGTTAGATCTGGCTTTCATAGGTCATCTAAAATTTTGTTAAGATAATTAAAAAAAAAGAGATTTGGTCTTAGGAAAACTACTGGATAAGACTCCCCTTGGTAAATAAAGGAACAGCTGCCTGGAAAAAATTTATTCCAGCCTTTGTTCACAAAGGGGCCCCCAATAATTTTCATAGACTTGTGGGAAATACATCGCTAAACATATTATTGTGATATGTATACATTAGTTATGGTCAAATGACTACATTTTCTATGGGAAAACAATAAGGTTTTATTTAAAATGCTCTTGGTACAAAACAAAATTAAAGGACAAAGGGTTTCATATAATTGATATCATTGTTATTTCATGGTGTATAGATTCATGCCTTCTGGATGTACAAGTCTTCTAGGATATTTATGGGAATGACATTTTTGACTCAGGTGTCTGCCTTTCTCTTGTACTTTAGCTACTTGTGATAAGAGGTACATGTCAAGCCAGCATGAGATAACCAGTCAAATAATAGTTTTCTTAAAAACTTACATGATGTGTGTTATATGTGTCACCACACTTCGGGATGCGTAGAGACCAAACAATTGAAACAATGTCACACACTAAAATTAGAGGTTAGACATTGTTAACTCTTAAGGTACATTTATAGGCCAAATATGTATGTTCTCTTTAGATGACATCCTACTAAAGGATAACAAATAAGAATTGAATAAGAATTTTCTTTATTTCATTTAATGTCTTGTGATGAGATGGAGGTGTTTGAAAGATTATTCCATACTAAGATGGACATTGTTACAAAGAAAATGTCATGATGATTGTCATGCTAAAATACTATGTGTGGCTCTTGATCTAAGTTTCTACAATATATAGCTATTGCCTGTTAACATTGTGCAGGGATTAAACTACTAAAACAACTATGGTTGATAAGAAATAACAACCTGTCTAATTGTACTTTATACTTCAAAGTGCTTAATGTCCAGACAAATTTATAATAGTTAAGCTACTAATGTCACTGATCTTGTCTTCTGAGTGTTCAATAAGTAAAGTTTGAGGACCAAAACTAGAAAAGTAACTGGGCTATGAAGATAGCCCATAGGGTCTACAAGATCCAGGAAACAAAGGAACCTTTCCTACTGGATCCTACATCTTTGGTAAATCACTCAACCTGCTGAGCAGGGAGATTGCTGGGCACCAGAGGATAAATATAATTTGTGCCAAAAGAGGGTCACCATGAGGGGAAAAGTCTCCCACGCTTTCACTGAAAGCAACATGGTCAAGCAAGGCCATGACCCATCCTGATGGCTGACACTGACAGAGGAGCTGAGAGTCTCTATGCATGGTTCCAAAATAATGCCTGGGGAGACTTAACTGAACTTGATAGATAGGAAGAGGTTCATGTTGATTGACACAGGTTTCACTTTGACTTGGTCTTAAACACATAGCAGAAAAGAATAACTAAAAGAGGTATAAAGTAATGCCATAATAATAAAGCTAGATATAAAAAGGGGCTCCAGTCACTGACCCCTTCTGGCAGTTTTCAGCTCTACCAGTAGCTGACCATGGTTATGGATCATTAGGAAAAAACTATGGTTAAAATCTATAAGAGCTCAGCTAGAGTCATATTTCTTAGCAAATGTTGCTCTTCAAATTGTCTCTTATCTTACAGATAAAACTAGAGAAACTTACGACAAAGTATCAGACTTATAGATAACCTCTATCAATGAAACAATTTAGGTCCAGCAGGTTCAATCACTGTTTCAATTTCTAAATGTGACTTTCTCCCCACCCTGCCCTTTTATTCAAGTGTGCTCATGCTTAGATTATGCGTACTCTAATTTCTTAAAAGTTTTGTTTATTCTTGCCTAGAGGCTGTCAAACTCCAAGTGGTCATACAAATGGAACCAATGACAAATGTGCTAGACTTCTTTTACTGGGATCCACCAGATTGACCTTGTAAACAGGTCATAACTGCTAAACTATAGGACTTCTATGTTGACCTTCTCTTTGTCCTCTTTGTTGGCTATATTCATAGTGTCAGGTTAAAAAAAGCTGAAAACCAAGACCAGACCAGAACCACTACAAGCCTTTATTGTAGGGACAATCTGCCAGGCTGTCTCTGATCAAAGGAGAGAAAGCAATATGGCTGAGATAGGGCGCATTTCTTGTAGGACTGGGGTGCAGCTCATAGGAGCTGGGGTGGGATTGAGTGATGTAGTGGCTAGAGATTGGGGGAGCTTGTGACATCACTAAGAGAGGCTTGTGTCATCACCAGTCACCAGGAGGTAGCAAGTATCAAGTTACTTTTTTGGCAGGAAAAGAGACATCATGGGAAGAAGAAGGCTGTCCTTTAGAGGGAGAAGCCATATTTTTAGGTGAGAAGCAGGGCATTATGGGAAGGGGAAGGCTCTTTTTTTTAAATGTAGTGGCCATCTTATGGCAAGGGAAATCTAACACCTAGCAATTCTGCTGACCTCATAATTTGTCCCATGCATTCTTAACTGTTTCTTTGGCTTTGTCTCCTCGAGACTTAAAAGCTATGCAGCTGCCAAGATGACAATGCCAGGCACATACTGAAGGCCTTTAGATAGACCCTTTGTAGACTAACTTTAACTGCTGATCATAATTATGACCCTTTTCAGCTGGAAGTAGCCAGAGCTGTCTTCACCCTTTGTCCCCTCACAGCATTTAGGGGTATTTCTTCAGAGGGGGGAATATTGCAGATAGGTAAGTTAATTAGATATCTTGTAGGCAGTAACACAGGGCCACCCTCAAGGAGCCAACACAGGAAGGAGCCAACATGGAGGACAATCAAGACACATTCACTGAAGACCAGAATTTTAAAAGGAGAGAAACTACTATACCTTTGTGCTTCCCCTAGGGATGAATAGCAATGAATGATATTCTAAATAGGTATGATCACCTGCGTGGGGGGCCAACGCCTTAGCCCTGACCTCACCCTTATTGAAAATCCTTGTATCCTTGCTGTGTGACTTGTTCCCCCATTTGACCCCTATTTATTCAATGCTCTTATGAGTTGGTCATGGTTTTGCTCCACCTCATGCCCACCTTGTAAATTACCATTGGGTCTTATAGTTTTGTCCCACTTTGTACCCTCCTCACCACATGGCTTGGCTGTGTAAAACATCTTTGAAAATTAGGGTGAGCGGGCAACCCACTTTCCAGTCCCCCTTCTGCCTCTCTTAGACAGAATTTTTTTCCCCCCAATAAATGTTTCCTACTCTTAAAAAAAAAGTGATCTCAGCTAGTGGTTGGTATGTTAAAGCTGAATAGGGGCAGGAAAGCAACAGGGGTCTGCCTGATAAGTGACATTTGAGCAGATACTGGGTGAAGCCAGGGAAAGACTCTAAGAATTTAGGAATAGTCTGTGAGGCAGAGGGAACAGCAGGTACAAGACCTTGGGCAGATGTGAGTTTGCAAGATCATTTTCACTGCATTCTCTGATCTTGGTATCCAGCCTCCCTGCTTGACTGTTGACTAAAGAGGGCAGTCTCTTCTGCTCTCTGTAGCCTCTTGTATCGATGGCTCCTCCTTACCCTACTCAAGGGCTTCTCCCAGGTCACTGTCCCATTGTGCATTCTCTGTCAATAGAGCCAGCGTTTGGTCCTGGCAAAATGTCCCATGTTTCCTGGCCCTGCATAATAGCCTCTGTCCCTGCTGCACCTGCTGGGGTTCATGCACTCTGCCTTGACACTGTCTTTTCCTTCTGCCCTTCAATCTGTCCCTACTATTGGTCACTAGTGTTGAGAATCATCTGCCTTATATCTGCCTTCTCCAGGACTCCACACCCAGTGCCTAGGCACACCCTGTTCAGACCCCAGGCCTCTTGGATCCTCTCAGCTCTTCTTGGGCAGGGAGCCCCAAGACGCCTTAAGAACCAAGACTCTTGTGCCTCAGGGTGTGTTTGTTTTTTTTTGTTTGTTTGTTTGTTTGGTACTGGGGATCGAACTCGGGTCCTTTGCTTGCAAGGCAGGCAGCAGAACCACTGAGCTAAATCCCTGGCCTGTAAATATGATTTTCGCTTTGACTGAGTGGAGTGACTTTAAATCTTCCTTAGTAACTTGCATCCTTTATCCTTTGCCTCAGTTTCCAACCTGAAAAATGGGGACGATATGATAGTACATAGCTTACAGATATTGGGTTAACATGGATTAATATGTCAAAATGCTTTTAAAGGTACACAGTTCATAAGAAATACATTTTGGCTCTACATACGTTATTTTAATGACTCCACACCATAGCAATGTGAAGTTTGAATTACAAATCCTACACTACACAAAAACAGGTCTGAGAGGTAGAGACATAATTGCACAGATAATTGATGGCCAATTCAGACATTTTTGAGAAAAGTAAATTTCTGCTTACATAGCTGAGTTCTTTTCACCCTACCTCAATTGTCTCTAGGAACATTTTTATATAAAATCACAGATCAGAATATCAGGTAGACATCTGGACCGATTAGGTCTGAATGTAGGAATAATGTTTTGTCAAACATTCTTGTCCCTTTGTTTTTCAACATCACTTTTCATTTCATTGCTTACCTTTGTCCCTAACCTTTGCAGTGTTGTAGTGAAAGTGGAATAGAAGATGTAACTACAAATGACATTAATACTTGTGTGTGTGTGTGTGTGTGTGTGTGTGTGTGTGTGTGTTGGTAGGAGAGGAAGGAGGCTGTGGATGGAGACCAGGACCTTGCACATGCAATACATACATACAAGACAAGCATTCTACCACTGAGCGATGTTCCAGCTCCTGCTGTTTTATTTTAATGTAGGCTCATTTTTTAACTTTCTGGAAGAATTGCTTTCACCCCTTTTAATTGCACATAAATTGCAAAATAAAATCACTAACCCAATTGATTATTCATCAGATACTTTTGGCCAGTTTTAAAGTCAATTATTCATTATTCAAACTATAAGAGAATGGTCTGCAGAAAGAAAAAAGTACAGCCCAATTATGATAAATATTATTGGGTTTTCATATGAATGGTTTCAGATATAATTCTTGCAATCAAATCATGCAGAAATGAAAATGCGAATGGGCTAAGTGCTTAAGTTACCATTGCACGAAGTGTGAAACCTGTAGATTCCTGGTCTCGAGTGTCGGCAGCAAACACTGTCACACCTGCTCTTTGCAGCTGTAACCTGCATCCAATCACAACAGCGTCAGCCCTGTTGTCTTTTCCCCCAAAGAGCACACACAATGAGCTTAGATAGAATGGCTAACTTTGGATAGACTATGCAACTCTTAAATGTTTCAAGAGCACTTTCAGCTTTTAATTTCTGAGATAGACAAGGTTCTGTGTTTTATGATGTGAGAATTATTTTTTGGCTCAGCTTTTCCAGGCAAGTGTCTGAGTTTTATTGACTATTAGAAGCTTCTTGTCCTTGGAGAGTAGGGCTTCAACATGGATTGTGTGGCTTGCTTCAGCAGGCTCAGTGGAGATGTTATTTGGGTGAGATCTTGGCTCATCCCTTAGCTGTATTCTCAGAGCAGTTGACATATGTACTTGATATTTACACACTTTGCCAACCCTTTTTTTTTCCTCATTGAGTTTATTGGTCCATTCTAGGTGTACAGTACAGTTACATTCATCATTGGGTCTTGTACCTGTACATGGCAGGTCTTGGTTGCTAACCTTTTCTTTATTCTTCCAGTGGCAGTTGGAAATGATGTCCCCTATGGTACCCGTGTCTTCTTTGCAATAAAGCAGGCCACAGTTTGGCCAACAGGTTTTCCTTGTCTCCATCTAAATTCCCATTAAATCATGTCACATTATCTCAGAAATGAGCTCTCTGTCTTTTTTTTTTCCCTACAAGAGTCTTGTCGAATGCATTCCTGTTTATATATTAAGGGAGTCTGGGAAGACATCTTCAGAAAGTTAGGAAGGATAAAGGGATCATTTCAGCTTCCATGATGTTGGTAACGAATTGCAGCATGTCAACAAGGTGTATCTTTTAGGTCTTCATTTTAATTTGTGTCACTATCCCTTTAGCCATAAACTCTGAACCTTTTCATGGCTTCTTGCTTTAAAGGAAATCTCTATGGAGCCTTTATTAGGAGTCTGTTACAGAGTTGAAAAGGAAGTGAAACTTTATGTTCTTTTTACCCTCAGAAGTATGAAAGGAACATTGTTTTTAAAGAGCACTATGCAGAGCAGAACTAACTTTAATTGCCACTTTGAGGTGTCAACAATTAGGGAAATTGAGGAAGTCACAACTTCTGAGATGACAGAAGCTTTTCAGGTAACTCAAAGGTGTTTTAAAAGGTACCTTGTCACTTTGGTAAGTGCAGTTTCCCAACTACTCTTTAATTATCTGTCAAAGTTAGAATGCACATGAAAAATGCATTAAGACAATTGTACTTGTCTGACAGGAAGAAAAGGAAATTCATTTTTCTGTGAATACCTCCAAAATAGGTAAAATTTAAACTACTTAAAAGCACAAAGTGAGAAAATTTAATTTTAGTTTTTTTCCCTCTCTGTTGTAGCTATTCTGGGTGACAGAAAGCAAATTATTTTAAGAGAAGTTGACAATTTTTAGTAGCCACCTTTCTAAACATAGAAATCAAAATCCTTCTCATTGGATGACATTTCTTACAAACCAATATTTCCCTCTCACTACAGCCAGCCTATCTGTCTCTATCATAGCTATTAAGATTACAATAACTAAGGCTGGGATGGTAGCTTACAGCTAGAGTTCTTTTCTTGCATGTGTGAAACTCTGGGTTTGATCCCATCACCATCACCACCAAAAAGATAAAAAAAGATGTAATAAAATTGTCTCTTGCCCTCCCAGCCCCCTCTTATACACCTGTCTTTCTTATTGTCTAGGAATAGCGTTGTATGCTGAAATCTACTCAGAAAGAAAGTTCATTCTCCAAATATTTCTTTTTGCAGCTATTACTACTGGGTATTACTGTATGTTACAGGCTCTGTGGTAGGGGCTGGGAAATAGCAAGTAACAAGACACAGGGAAGTCTGCCTCGTCGGGCTAATGCTCAAGGGGAAGAGGAATCCACTTCTTTTTGAGAAATATAACTTGTTTTACTTTAAGTCTTCCCTAGCTTCTCATTCCAAGATATGTATTCACACAGAAGGGAACAGAATTTTTATTAAGAGAAAGTTGCACTCACTATACTAAGTCATTTGTATTCCAGGGTCAAGAGCCTCTCCTACTATAGATACAGAAGGCCGTATGAGAGGCGAGAGCCTGAAACACGGACTGCCCATGGCTATTTCCATTTCTCTGCCCTGGGCTCTTGTTTTAAATTCCAGAAAGCAAAACAATCCAGAAATAAAAAATGATTAATGGACCAAAGGGCTGATTTATGGGAAGGGATCTTAGGAAGTAGGTATGTGGGTTGACTTCAGGAGGTTCCCAGAAAAGCCATTCCTGGTGATTTAGGCAGAGAGCAGGGTTAGCATGATACTCAGGCTAAAAGCCAAGTAGGACAGAAGAAAATAATTCAGAGACTTTTGAGAAAACATAATCCTTAACACTGGTATCATGCTTTTCAGGCCAATGGTGATGATGGTACTCATAGACGCTTATGCAAAATTTATTTAACAGATTATTTACTAAGTAACTACTGTGTATGAGGCACTGTTCTGGCTTCTAGATACAGAAATAAACAGAGAAGACAAGAATTTCTGCCCTTGTGAAAGTTAGGTTTCGTTGGGGAAGACTTAATAAGTAAATACATTACTGTGGCTGGTGATAAGAGCTATAGAGAGACTATTATCTGGACAGTTTGTAAAGAAATTTCCTAGACATCATTAACTTATTTATTGGATATTTATTGAGCATCCCATAGGTCCTAGCTTTATGCTCACAATGGTATACTATAGTTGTTATCATGTTGTTTGCATTTAAAGACCAAGATATTGAGCTGAACATGGTGACATACGCCTGCTATCCCAGCAGTGAGGAAGGCTGAGGCAGGATGATCACAACTTGAGCCCAAGCCGGACACCTTGTGAGTCCTTGTCTCAAAATAAAAAATAAAGGGGGGCTAGGGAAGTAGCTCACTGGCAGAGTGCTCCTGGGTTTGATCCCCAGTTCCACCAACAAAACACCCTCAATATTTTTGAATATGTACATGAGCCCTCCTACCACCAGGTAACAGAGCTTCTAAACTATAGAGCCAGAATCTAAACTTACACCTTTCGTTTTTAAGCAAAAGCTTTAACTTTAAAACCTGAGTGATGAAGCAAAAGTTTTTGTAGAAACATTGTTTCTTCTTTTTCTTCTTCCCTTATAAAATAAAATTTCTAGTGAAATGGATTTCTGCCCTGGGGGCCTCTGGCTAGCTATATATTGTTGTATGAACAATAGTTTATTTTCAATTAGATGTGTTTGGATAGCCTAAAAATTTGTTATGATGGCAAAAGAAATCTATTTTTACTTTGCATCTATAAAATTTGCTTTAAATGATTTTGAAGAAATTCAAATTTTGAAGGAGTTCCTCTCCTTGTTTCATATCCTTCAGTTGATACTATTTTTTCAATTTTCTCTGGTCATACAGAACTTCAAATCAGGCCTTTTGACTCTAAGAAACTGTAGCTGCAGCCTCTCAAGCCTCCGTAGATTGCTGGACTCTCAGAAGCTAGCCTCTGAATTCAATTTTTACATGGGAAGGTAGGAGAGATACTTGGAATGAATCTGAATCAGCATCTATTTCTGTTGCTTTTACAAGTTTCCTAACTAGGCAGTTTTAAGTAAATTTAGAACACATATGAAAAAGTCAGCACACAGAGTTGAAAATGGTAGAGTTGTAGGCCAGGGAATGCAAAACCTTTTCTCTGCGTGTTTACATCTGGTTTTTCTTCAGATGTGTGGTTTTTATTATTATTATTTTTATTTTTTGGTACCGGGGATCAAACTTGGGCCCTTGTGGTTGCAAGGCAGGTCGCCGAACCACTGAGCCAAATCCCCAGCCCCTTTAGATGTGTTTTTAACTCTCTCCTGGTCTGTTTTTGCCAGGATAGATGGGTTTCCAGTAAGAACGTTTAAACTGAGTTTAAACCAGGATGAATATAATAAGACATAAAGAAAGCTAACACTTATTAGCAAACAAAGCACAGTTCTTTCTTTTTAAAAACAATTGATAGCTTGGACATTTGATAATCTTTAAAAGATACAAGAATAACAATCTAAAACTACAAAAGCAACTTTGGTTCAATGGAGATTATCCTTGTTAATGTTTTGATATGGTTTATTTTTTAAGACATTTTCAACATTATAAAAATAAGGTAAAATATTATGGACCTCATTTTCTTTCTATTTTTCACCAGCATCATGTTTATGGTTCTGTAGACTACAGCTTATGATTTATCTATTTGCCTACTATTGGCCACTTAATTATTTCCAGTTTTCCATCCTTATTACTAAGGCCAGAGTGAGCAACCTTAAAGTAAAATATTTGAATGTATCTGTGATTATTTCCTTCAATAATTCACAGAAGCTGAATTTTTGGGTTAAAGAATGAATGGGACTTTGAGCCTTTTGTTAGGTTTGTCAAATTGTTCTCATAATAGTAATATATGGTAAGTTGAGACATTAGGTAAGAAACTTGAAATGTAGAAACCACAGTACCTAATTTTCAAAGTTATCAGGTCATATCAGTTACTAGGAATATTATATTCCTTAAATTTGGGGGATTTTCTCTTTGACAAAGCAGAAGTGGAGTATCATGACAAGAGAGGTCTGTGGCCTATGTGGGTCTGGGTTCTGGGTCTGCTCTCTGGTACTGGCTCTGAGGCTCATTTGATTTAGCTGAATCTGGGCTCACCACTTATCCTGCCTGGGCTTTAGATTCTTTACTTACAGAGTGGCCATGCATCTAGGTATATGTTTGTGGTCCTAGAATAATTAGTGACATCTTCTTTTGCTCTCCAAGTATACACTAAATTCTATGCTTGTCCTACTTTTCTGTAGAGGAAATATTTCGACTGTTAAAAAGGACCTGTGCCCATCCTCCTTACCCTCTCTTTCCTCCTGCAGAACCGCTCTTTCCCATAGCCAGGTTATACACTTGTGGCCTACCTCCATCCTTAGGCACATGGCCAGCACAGAACACATACCCCTTGGACTCAGAGCTAGTTCTAAAGATGGGCTGGGACCCAGTTCAGTCTGCTGGAAGCCATGATCCTCAACTTCTGGTGGGAGCAGTGGTTTACTGGTTCATAATGGCCCCATACAGCCAACTGTTAAATTTCTAGGAATCTTGTGAATTATACACTAAAACTTGCCATTATTAACAATTAGATTATATAAATTTACAACTAAATCACACCAAGACAAAGGTAGTGAATATTCAAAACTAGTACCTTTTGAATGATTTTGCTAGATTTTTTTTATTAGTACTTATATTTCTGAGGATGTTTTTATGTATTATATTTATATGGTGGAAATACTATATAATGGGTGAGTGCACATTTATTTTCCCAATTCTGTATTTAGTGGTGTCCAGTTGGTTGGTTGGAACTGGCCAAGGATCAGGGCAGGAGTAATCTTGGAAATTGGCAAATTCTACACAGCAAAATCTTTAAATTTTTTTTTTCCTGGAAAGCTCTTAAATACTAATATCACACTCCTGGGCTGGAACTATTTGTAAGGATCTTTTTAGAAATTTTTACTTTGTTGTTTTGCTAGTAAAATATCCTAGAGTAGCTAGAAAGGCGCTCTGGTCCTCTGGGGAGAAAACACAAGAGTTGGATGTTGGTGAAGAGGAAAGCAGACATGAAGGCTGCAGGGAGAAAAGATTCTTTCCTTTCCCTTCCCGCTTTATTGAGGCACAATTTGACAAGTGAAAATAGAAATAAGATTCTTAGTATCAGGTGAGCTTTGGTATTTTAGTAGGGCAAAAAACTGGCTTCAATCACATTAGATTTCACTAGTTTATGAATGAAAGTCCTTTGATAATACAGAGAGAGCCCTTATAGCTTCAATAATGTATGATTGCAAAGTTATATAAAAGTTGGAACTGCTTAGCTAAATATTTGAGTGCTCATAGTCTTTGTCTTTGAAGGGAAGTGAACTAAATATGTATTTTATAATAAATTCCTAGAATTTGTCCTCACTTAAACATTTGATGCTGTATAATATTAACATTAAATGTCTTTGAATTGTAAGCCATGAAATAGATGAATCGAGCATGTTAATCATTTCAATTTAATTGTGTAAAAATTTCTTCTAATTTAAATGTCATATTGTACTTAGTGGATTCGACTGACAAAAAACCCTACTTTTGATTATCCTTGCATAACGTGGGTGAGTAGCCCTAATATTATCTGCAGAAGCCCCTGTTAGAACGTAGTTACTCTGCATTTAAGAACATGGGACTCTCCTCCTTTGAAATATTGATTTCATTTTTAATTATGCTCTTCCATGTGTACCCCAAGGTGCTATTTCTTAATAAGGATGGATTGGGAGCAGGTCCCACTGAGATATTAGGAATACTCCCCAACTAGACACTGCTCATGTGTTTTGTTTGGTTTGGTTTGGTTTGGTAGTAGGAATTGAACTCAGGACCTTTGGTTTGTGAGGCAGGCATGGTGGCCACTGAACTATATGCCCAGCTCCTTGTGTATATTTAACACTCTCTTCCTGGCTTATTACAGCTCTGACCCATTTCACATGTTGTTGATTCCAAAGAATCAAGATCGTGTGTTTACTTTCTGGCATTTGACTGTGAATAACTCAAAAGTGTTTAGCAGTTGGTTAATAGTCAACATTAACAAGAATTTTGAGATCAAACCTGATAATTTTTCAAGTGCTAAAATAGATTAAATTTACCACGCCCAAAATGTAATGTTCTTTTCTTTCTCTGGTTTAAAAAATGTTAGAGAGGGGTGAAGGGAGGGCAGGGACAAGGGGAAAAAATGAGAACCAAGACCTGTCATGTAAAGGTACAAGATCACAATAATGAATGTAACTGTACTGTACACCTAAAATGTACCAATAAACTCAATAAGAAATGTTAGAGAAAGTCTATTTTGATTTGAATTATCATATTTAAAAATAAACAAAACATCAAAAATCTTGACACAGGAATAATCTTTACTAGAATAACTTTTTTTTGATACTAGAGATTGAATCCATAGCCCTTTCACTGAGCTACATTTTATTTTGAAACAGGGACTTGGTGAGTCATTAAATTGTCCATATTGGGCTTGAACTTGTGATCCTCCTGCCTCGGCCTCCTAGAGAGCTGGGATTATGAGAGTGTGCCACCATACCCAGTTTAGAATTATCTTTTGATGCTAGAATTCTTTGTCAGTAGTTGACTGTTTCCTTTTAATTCTATTTCTAGTTTGTCCCTTGTTCATGAACAAATAATACCTTACAACTATAACAAATATCATTCAAATTAATGTGAATGAGAACTGTGATGTATTGGAGTAAAAACAACCCCCCCTCCCGACTGACCTTCGCCAGCCTGTGCCTTTTTCAAGGGGGGTCCTGAGGAGTCTAGTTAAGAAAACACTGCAGGCTGCTGTTTCTAGATGTGCAAACCTGGAGGATCTGCTGAAGTCAGTCCCAAGTGAAGGAAGCAGGGCATGGATTAGCTGCTGGGAAAGAGACAGGCAACCTCTGATTTCCTTTCTGATTGCCTGGACTGAATGGAGGACAGAGGAGGAGCAAGCTTGGGCCCATTTTTTTTTTAGGTTTCTTTATTTTTTCTTTATTATTATTATTTTTTTTGATACCGGGTATTGAACTTGAGACCTTGTGCTTGAGAAGCAGGGGCAGAACCACTGAGCTAAATACATGGCTTGGGCCCATTCATCAGCCCGACCATCCCAGGCGATCCATCTTCCATGACTTTGAATGTGTTGCCTTCTTTATCCTCTCCTGCTGCGTGTCCACCAAACTTCGATTGGTTCTTCAGGTGTAGCTTCATAATATTATGTTAATAGTATGAGAAAGATTGGGAGATCCTTGAGGGCAAAGATATTGTCTTATTTATATTGA